CCTGCAGCAGATAACTGGCTGGCTTGCAGGCAGGCTACTTCTCCCTCTTTGTTGTTGTTGTTGTGTGCCTTCAAGTCCTTTCCGATTTATGGCGACCCTAAGGCAAAGCCTGTAGGGTTCTCTTGGTAGTTTTCTTCAGAGCGGGTTTGCCATGGCCATCCTCTGAGAGAGGCTGAGAGAGTGTGACCTTTGGGTCACTCACCCTGTTGCTTTGTATGCTGGAGCCCTCCTCAGCATTTACTTAAATAACAGTAGCCCATGATAGGGTAGGCTTCACTTTGGGTGTGGCTGTGGGTGTGTGTTGTGTGCCTCCAAGTCGTTTCAGACTTAGGGCCATCCTAAGGGGGTTTTCTTGTTCAGAGGAGGTTTGCCATTGCCCTCCTCTTTGTTGTTGTTGTTGTTGTTGTTGTTGTGTGCCTCCAAGCAGAACCCATCATAGGGTTTTGATGGCAAGTTTCTTCAGGGGGGGAGGTTTGCTTGCCATAATAACAGTGCCCCATGATAGGGTTCACTTTGTGTGTGTGTGTTGTGTACCTTCAAGTAGTTTCCAACTTATGGTGACTCTAAGGTGAACCTTTCATGCCAGGTTTCTTCAGAGGGGGTTTGCCATGGCTGTCCTCTGCGCTTACTTAAATAACAGTACCCCACAGGAGGGCTCACCTTGTGTGTTGTGTGCCTTAAAGTTGTTATTTCCAATTTAAGGTGACCCTAAGTTTATCATGGGGTTTTCTTGGCAAGATTTGTTTTGAAGGGGTTTGCCCTGGCCATCCCATCTGAGGCTGAGAAAGTGAGACTCGCCCAAGGTGACCCAGTGGGTTTGCATGGCCAAACCAGGATTTGAACCCTAATATTCAGAGTCATAGTCCAATGCACAAACCACTATGCCACGCTGCCCTTCTCAGTTCTCCCTCTCCATTCTCTAAAATGCAGGGGATGCCTCTCTGTCAAGTCCCTGGAAGCACTTTTAAACCTGATGGATGGACCTGATGCCAATCTGTTAATTTAAAAGAAGCAGGGTGCAGCTACATAGCAGAAAGAATGCTGTTATTATGTGCATTAAACAAGCATGCCAGCATTTTAAGTGCTATAATATTTTAAGTGGTGTAGCTCCACCCTATGGAATCCTGGGATTGGTAGTTTTACCAGGTCTTTAGCTCCCTCTTCCAAAGAGTGCTGGTGCCTCACTAAACAACATTTTAGTGAGGGATTCTGTAGGATGAAGCCATGACCATTAAAGTGGTGTCAAAGTGCATGATTTCTACAGTGTAGATGCCAGGGTGGTGTAGTGGTTTGAGTGTAGGACTAAGGACCAGGAGATTGGGGTTGGATTCCCTGCTCAGCCATAGAAACCCACTGGGTGACCTGGGGTGAGTCACACCCTCTCAGCCCCAGAAAACCCTTTGATAAGTTTGCCTTAGGGCCACCAAAAGTCAGAAATAACCTGAAGGCACATAAGAACAACAAGTGGATTGCACTCTCATTGCTTGCTTGCATACTTAGGCATCAAAAGAGTATGAACCTGTTTGGAAGTAAAATTATTTATAATAACTCAATCCAGGTGGGTTAAAACAACTTATGTTAATGACTTTAGGGTATTTTCTGACCATGTGGGCTTTCCAGTGAATGAGGGGTTAGGCTTAATAAGGGTTCATGTTAAATGGAAACATTAATTTTATACAATTTCAGATGTAGGGGTGGCTGTGTTGAGCCTAAAGGAAAATCCAGAGTACATAAAAAGTGCCCTTTTGGTTAGATGTATCCTGAAGGTATCAAATCCTGGCTGAGCATGGAAGCCATACCACCAAGGAAGGCAAACCTCTTTGAGCATTCCTTGTCTAAGAAAATCTTATGAAATTCAGGAGGTCACCGTAGTTCAACAGGTGATTTGAAGGCAATATGCACACACATCATCACAATGTGTATTTTGGATTTTGATATTTGTTTTGTAGTCAACATGTCTCCCCCTGAATTTTTTTGGATTTGAAGATTCCAAGCTTAGCTACAAAACAGCCAAATCTTAACCTGGAGGGCGTGAACTATTTCTCATATTTTACTGGGACATGATTTTTCCAGCATAAAGTGATTTAATTTGGCTCCTTGTGGCATGCTTTGCCTGTTGTTGTTGTTGTTGTTGTTGTTGTTGTGTGCCTCCAAATCGTTTGTGACTATTGTGTGACCCTAAGTGTGTGTGTATGTGTGGGGGAAGTTGGCACTCTGCAGGACAGAAGACAGGCACAACTATCAAAGGTGGGACTTTGTGGCTTTTAATGCAGAAAGGAAATTTTATTGCCTCCTTTTACTTCTCTTGTTGCCAGTTACATCACCACTACCCCAGGTGATGTACTGTCTGAATAGAAAAGCAAGTGTTTTGTTGGGACAACTTTTATTCCAATCACTTTTGTGTACATTGCAAAACAATATAGAGAGACCTTGTGCCACCTTTGAGACTAACGGAAAGAAAGAAGTTAGCAGCATGAGCTTTTGTAGACATAAGGCTACTTCCTCAAATAGTAGACTGAAGTCTACGAAAGCTCATGCTGCCAACTTCTTTCTTTCCATTAGTCTCAAAGGTGCTACAAGATCTCTCTATATATTGATTCGAACTGCAAAACAATGTACATAATGGAAACAGTGTTTACAACTCTTGTAAAAAACTTACTTTGTAGCTCTAGTTCTGTGCTAATTCTGCAACAAAATGTGATCTCAGTTCTAAAGTGAGCAGATTGGATTGTAACTCTTCAGTTCCTCCCATTGTATTCCAGCAGCTCAAATAAAGAATGTCTTCAACTATCTGAGAATCTCCTGCTTCCTTCAGTAGTTAGTCTTCCTCTTTCATGCTTCTGAAGTGTCTCCTTGTGATGCTGTCACCTGTCTTCCTTCAGACTGCTTCAAAGACCACTATTTTTGTGAAGCCTTTGGCACAACTTACTTTACTGATTAGGGAGTTTTCCCTTTTTTTACAACAGCTATCACCTCTGACCATTAGTCATGCTAGTAAGGGTTAAAGGAAGCACAAAAGAGTGGAGAAAGATATAGGCTGTGTTTTTTTGTTTATAATTATTTCCCCTTCCTATTCATCTGACTTCAGAGAGCTGACCCTGTGCTTTCTAAACCTCTCCCTCCATTTCTATATCTCTTCTTCTAGTTTTCATGCCTTCATGTTGACTCCAACATATGGTGACCTTAGAGGAGTTTTTTGGCAAGATTATTTTTTAGAGCAGGTGCCAGTGTCTTTCTCTTAGGCTGAGAGAGTGTGGCTTCTCAAGGGGTTTCCATGACTGAGCAATGATTTGAACCCAGGTTTCCCACAATCCTATTCTAACACCCCCTTGCTTGATATTCCTGGTTGGGTATATTATTGTTATGATTGTAATTAAATTTATATGATCAACAGGAATGATACAAGAAGATACCACGTCTCAAAATAACTTTTAAAATCTAAAATTTTGAGGTGGATATACTATTACTTCTTATATAAATAGCACTTACTGAAGTTATGTCCATACACAATAAAATTCCATAGTATTAAATAAAAGCTAAAATGTTTAGATGAAGAATGAAGTGAAAGGTAGATTATAAGGTAGCAAATGCTTAGAAATTAATTTGTAGAAAACTGGAGAACTATAAACACGAGGGAAGCACCTGATAGCAAAGGGTAAGAAATTACTTATAAATTTTAATATGAAAATTTCCCCTTTAAATAGAAGTTATTTGTACATTTATTAATAAGAATATACTGTACTGTGAATCTCATTTGATGCAACAACTGTACATTATTTTGCAAAACTGTACAATTGTATGGATGAGACCCTTTTTAATATTAGAAATTATTCTAAGCTTTCTTATTTTTTGGATTTTTGCCTTTAAATTTTTTTTTGCTCATGTTTCTGAATAAAAATAAGCCGCATACTCTCAGCCTCAAGGGAAGGCAGTGGCCTTTGAAGAAACTTGTCAAGATAGGACAATATAAGACCCCATGATGGGATCCCCTTAGGGTCGCCATAAGTTGGAAACTACTTGAAGACACAAGACAGTGACAATATCTAAAATCTGACCCAGTGGGAGCAAGAGAGGAAACAGAAATAATTAAAGACAGTTGTAAACAGGAAATATTTTTGAAAGGATAGCATTGATAGTCTGTTGTAGCAAAAGTTTTGTGACAACTTTACAATTAATAAATTTATTACAGATCAAGGTTTTGTGGATATATAAAGTAGAAAAGGAACATAGGAAGCCACATTATATGTTGATCCACACACAAACATGGTGCAGCTGATTAGGGATAGGATGCTGACTGAGAGTTAGATAAAAATACTGACAGTGATAACTGTGTTATTGGCACTGACTGTGAACAGTCCATGATACTGAATTTCTTCTGTCAATACACATGGCTGTTAACACATATAGCATGATAAGGCACCTGTCATCCATTGGTGGCTGATAGCTTCCATTGCAGGGGAGCAGTGAATTTACTCCAGGTTTCATTACAAACTTTAAAGGAGCTATCCACAGTGCTGAATGCTATCTCCCAAATAACTTCTGTATCTTGAATAGCTCCCTGTAAACTTTGGGTTAAAACCTGGAAGCCATTGCTGTTATCCGATCTGCATTGTCCCAGATGTTTGGCACTTGGCATTGTAAAGCAAGAAGGAACTCTGCTGAGCATATTACTGTTTCAGTTACATGTGTTTCACTTGGTATAAAAGTTTAATAGCTATTGTGATAAACTTGGACTTTAATAACTATTGTGGCAAATCTGGTTCAGGATTGTTTCAAGGCAGGACTCTTGCCTTTGCCAACACTAGGCTGGGTGTGACTATGTCACGGCTAAATTGCTCCCATGCTAGCACAACATACAGCTCCATTTGCACTGCAGTAATAATCCAGTTTGATACTACTTTAACTGTCATGGCCTAATGCTATGAAATTCTGGGAATTGTAGTTTTGTGAGACATTTAGCCTTCTCTGCTAGAGCACTCTAGTGCTATAACAAACCACAGTTCCCAGAATTCTAGCGCATTGAGTCATGGCAATTAAAGTGGTGTCAAACTGGATTATTTCTGGAGTGCGGATGCAGCCTATGATGGACTATACTGCATAAAAACATATAACAAATGTAAATGGGCTGGTATAAAAGTTCATAGTACATAGAACAAGTATAGATAAAAACAAAGTTCTTCTCCTCCTCCTCCTCCTTCTTCCTTACCTGCCTCTCCTCATGTATCAAAAACAACAACAATTAATAGACAAACAACATCAGTTAGAATACATCAATTAAAACACACATCAATTAAGAAGGACAAATAAGATGTATACGTATTAAAACAGTCCACATTTAAAATTAATCATTTAAAATTCACAACTGCCAGAAGAGATTGGTCTTTGATGCTCTTTTAAATTTGGACAGTATATAGACTTTCAAAACTCTTCCAGCAGGTCATTACATTAACTCTGTCTTAGGGCCTTTGCAGACTGCCAGAAATTGTGCAAATTGAGTCCACTTTAACTGCCCTGACTCAGTGCTAGGGAATCATGGGAACTGTAGTTTATTTTGGCACAAGAGCTCTCTGACAGAGAAGGCTCAATGTCTCAGAAAAAAATGCAATTCCCATGATTCCCTAGCACTGAGCCAGGGCAGTTAAAGTGGACTCAATTTGCACTATTTCTAGCAGTCTGCAAAGGCCCTTAGTCTCCTTTTCTCCTGTTTACCAGATCTCTCTCTGTGTATCTGTCTGCCTTTTAGCCAAATGGTGTCTGATACATTTTTTTAACTAGGAAGATACTTAAGATAGCTTTAAATACTTTTTTGATGTTTATGAATTTGACCTGCTAGTAGCTTAGTCAGTTTGAATTTTTTACATTTATTGATTCTAAATGCTGGATAAGGTGTATAT